TAATAAATTAAGTAATATTAAACGTTCTTTATTGTGTTGCCGTTTTAGTTATAATAAAAGCTTTAGCACATGGTCAGAAGAATTTAACTATTTATTTTTTTTTAACAAATTGTACATATAAGTTCTTTCTTATTACAAATGCTATTTTTTTAAGCCGGTTATAAGTATGCAAGTATGTTTAATGCTGTAACTGGATTATATTGCTAGTTTAGTGTAAAGATTAATTTGAACTAAAGGAAACTGTTTGACAATGATTGGTTGTTTATCTGTGTCATTTAATACATAGTATATGAAGGTACCATTTTAATTGGCATGACAAAATTAATGCAGTTTTGATCAATATCTTCATATGAGATATTTTATATGAATATTATTTACATGTTTTTGAAACACTTGCTTCCAAAACTATAATTCCTGAAAACTAAGCTCCTACTGCGGTTCAAATGGGGGTTTCAAAGGAGTAGCGACACATATACATAAATGTGCGTCAGTAGATGTGGACTATTGAATAAACATATATGTACATATGTACATATTTTCGTAATATGTATACTTACATATCTTTTTGAAAACTCGAAGATCTTTAATAATTATTTACTCGCTTATAAGTAGGTACTATATACACACGTGTTATGTTTTGATTTTGCTATTTAGGAATCGTACTATTTATTTAATATCATTCATCAAAGTGTGTGTATGTCTGTAAGTGCTATTTGATCAATACTAATTAGCTAATCTTTGGTAGTTGAATGTTTCTTATAACAGTTTTAGGTACAAATGAAAGTATGTTAATACTCTATTAAGTATACAGTGGCGAAAATGTAAATAGAGAAGCGACATTTAGCATTATTTGGCTATTTCCCTTTCGATTTTTAATGGTTATTCTTTTTTTATGCAAGTGTAGCTCGTTATCTAACAAAAACCATGTAATTAAAAATTTTAAACTTTTTGGAAAAATTTGCAAATTTCCTCGAAGTTTCATCAAAGTTTTCAGTTTTTTAATTAGAATTCTTAGAAACATTCTGAGTGGTTATTCACTTATGTAACCCATTCAATTTTATCATAACGAAGTACAAATTTTAAGTAGATAGGACTTACCGTTGATTTATGGCAATTATTTTTGTGGCAGGTGTTGCTGAACATACTTTGTATGGACGAAAACAAAAAATTGCCAAAAAAAAAAAATTTGCCAAAAACCAACGGTAAGTTCTAGCTACTCCAAACATGCACTTTATTGTACTAAAGTTTAATGGACTATAAAACTGCATACTCAAAAAGTCTAAAAAAAAATCGGTTTAAAAAGTTTAAAATTTTGATCAACATTTGTTAAAATTCGTCGAATTTATATATTTAAATGTTCTACAAAGTTTGGAATTTTAATCTACAAGGTTTTGTTTAAATAGTAAAGTATATTTTAATAAAAAAATAATAAACCTTTTTTAAACAAAGAAAAATAGCCAAAACTTGCTAAAATGTCTCTACCCTATTTACATTCTCGCCACCGTACATATCTTCGCCAGCGCCATTCAAAGCTTATTGTTTTCAAATACGCGATTTCATAAGTGTTAAACGAATGAAAACATTATAACATGTAAGTATTTTCGAGATTTTTTACATTTTACACCATGTTTTGCGAAATATAGGGCATTATAATTACTAAATTTAGCTACAATTAATTACTAATTACAATAAAAACCGCGCTCTCTGTCAAGTACTGCTACTGAATCACCCTTGGTCAGTAAGCCTCTGTTGGGAGTTTTTTCTGTTAGATTTTTTAAAAACTTTTTTACATTCATTCAGTTTTATATAAAAGCTATATATTTTCTAGATAATTATACATAAATAAATGTATTTTTATTTATTTATGTATATATAGGTTAGGTTAGGTTAACTCGGCTGCCCTAATCCCTCAGGAAAAGAGCACACTTAGGCCACCAAGGGCCCGTTGTGATGCCGTATAAGAGACTCCATATGTCCCTCCTCTTACCCTAGTAGTGGAACCACTTCGTTGCTCTGATAAAGCGCACAAAGTCATAGACACTGGCTGAATCCAGTTCGGCCAGACATTCAAAAGAATAATGGAGGAACGAGCATCGGCGAGCTCTAGCCAGAGCAGGACAGTGGCATAAGTAGTGCTCCACGCTTTCGATTTCCTCCTCATCGCGGCAGCTACGACAGTAGTCGTTTGACTGCAAACCCATTCTAGTGGCGTGGATTCCCATCAGGCAATGCCCGGTGAGAACTCCAATAACATGCCGCAACAGTGGTCGCTCCAAGTGGAGAAGAGGGTGAGATCTACGCTTGTCAAGCTTAGGCCAGATATGTCTTGCTATCCTGCAAGTAGGCTCCTCAGACCATCTTTTATTAGCCTGTCCGACGAAGTTATTCTCAAGCCAGAGCTTGCAAGAAGATAGCGGAATGCCCGCATTACGGGCTGTACTGATTGCAGGCAACAAGGTTCCTTTCCTTGCTAGTTCATCTGCAGTACAGTTTCCTGGTATGTCTTTGTGGCCTGGCACCCACACAACATTAGTGACGTAACACCTTGCCAGTTCATTAAGAGTACGTCTACATTCCAAGACAACCTTCGACGTAGATTTGTCACTATTAAGTGCTTTAATAGCCGCTTGGCTGTCAGATAAGATTGTTACCGCCTTCAGATTAATTAGAGAATCGATCAGCCAGCTTGCAGCTTCATTTATTGCTGTTAGTTCAGCCTGAAAAACGCTGCATAGATCTGGCAGACGGAAACTGAGGCTAAGTGAGAGTTCTTGCGAGTATACCCCACTTCCTACCTTCAGATCCAACTTGGAGCCATCAGTGTAGATGGCTGTTGAGTCAGAATACGATATCAGGACCGAATCCTCCTCCCATTCTTCCCTTGAGGGGATCCTTGTCCGGAAATAATTCTTTAGTCCCGTAGACGGGACTGTGTAGTCCAGGCGCCTAAAGTCATCTGGAAGATTTTCCAAGATCCTAGAGTGCCCAAACCTCGTGTCACTCCATTTGATTAGCGCATTTAATCTAATAGCATTACAGCTTGCCTGTAGTTTACCATATAGGTCCACAGGTAGCAAGTGAAGCAAGGTCTCTAGGGCTTTAGTCGGCGTCGATGGTAACGCTCCCGTGATCATCATGCACGCCACCCTTTGGACCGCTGTTAATTTGTTTCTTATTGTAGATTTATCTACGGACGGCCACCAAACCGTTATGCCGTAGAATAGAATGGGACGCACAACCGCTGTGTACATCCAGTTCACAATATGAGGCTTCAATCCCCATTTTTTCCCAATCGCCGATTTACAGGCATACATAGCAGTTATAGCTTTCTTGCAGCGCTCTTCTATATTGCGCCGCCAAGTTAACTTTCTGTCAAGAATAACGCCCAGATATCTAACCTCCTCCGAGAAAGTCAGTACGATACCGTTCAAGGAAGGAGGTTGTAGCCGGACAGCTTTCGTTTTCTTTGAAAACAGAACCATGGCCGTTTTTGCCGGATTGACACTAAGTCCTACTTCTTTGGACCAGGTATCCACGACGCGTAAGGCGCCTTGAACTAAGTCACATAGAACTTGGGGGTGCTTACCAATTGCCGTCAGGGCAAGATCATCCGCGTAAGCAATGACTTGGCAACCTGTGCCTTGCAACCGTGACAGCAGGGTATCCACAGTTAGATTCCAAAGAAGTGGGGAGAGAACACCGCCTTGTGGGGTTCCGCGACTCGCATATCTTGTTATAGATACCTCCCCCATCTCCGAGTAAATAGTTCTACAGCCTAAGAGGCGACGAACAAACTCAACCATAGGGTGATCCAGCCCAAGGCGAGCTAGGGCTTGAAGGACCGCTCCCGGGAGAACATTATTGAAAGCACCCTCGATGTCCAGGAACACGCCTAGTGCAAATTCCTTAAAAGCGAGAGTCTTTTCAATGGTGCTGACAATACTATGCAAAGCTGTATCCACAGATCTACCTTTCCAGTAGGCGTGCTGACAGCTAGAGAGATTATTTACATCAATTTCCTGTCGGATCTGCAAGTCTACAAGTCTTTCCAGAACCTTGAGAAAGAAAGAAGTAAGGCTTATCGGTCGAAAGTCACTTGGTTTAACGTGGGAGGGTCTACCTCCCTTGGGAATAAAAACAACTTTCGCCAGGGTCCAACCCTTGGGTATGAAACTAAGCTTGATACAAGCCTTATAGATTAAGACAAGTATCGGACATAACACGTCAGATGCTGACTGAAGTTGGGCAGGGAAGATACCATCCATACCTGGAGATTTGTAGGGCTGGAAGGACTTTATGGCCCAGTCTACCCTTTGTACATCAATGAAGTCCGCTGAAGTCAACGGCCGTTCATAGATAATAGCCGCGGTGTTGGGCTCCGCAGTACATCCTGGAAAATGCGCGTTCATTAGGACTTCAAGCATTTCCTCACGAGATGACGTCCAGTCACCATTTGGTTTCTGAATATACATCGGGTTCGTCGGACTTTTCGCCAGCACCTTTCGCAGGCGATTTCCCTCCGACTGACCCTCTATGCTATCGCAGTAATCCTTCCAGGAGTCCCTTTGGGCTTTCCTGGTGGCATTTTTGAATTTCTTCAGGGCTGCCTTATATGCAGCCCATGAACCATCGCGCTTTGCCGCATTAAAGAGTATCCTGCTTTCCTTCCTTAGAGAGGCGATTTCTTTGCTCCACCAGTGTGGCTTCTTCTTTCCTCTCGGAAGTACAAGTGGGCAGGACGCAGATAAGGCCGAATTACAGGCTTCGGTAATGCAATCAACGGCTTCTTCAATTTGTTCCGATGAGCCTAACTCACCGAGAGAAGCAAGGTTTGCGAGAGAAAGCTCCGCTTCATCAGGTGGAGACAGTAAGCCTAGCTTACTGAGAGAAGCCTTGTTGAGCAAATTCCCCGAGAGTACTTTCCTAAACTTAGTCCAGTCAGTACGTCTCTTGTTTCTGTAAGCAACCGAGGCCGGAAGTTCGAAGGAGATTACAAATGAGAGATACATGTGATCAGAGAATGAATGGTCGCTCAGTACCTTCCACTCCCTAATACTCTCAAAGAAAGCGCTAGACGATAAGGTAATATCTAATACCTCCTTCCTATTTGAGGTTACAAAAGTGGGTTTATCACCAATATTACAGATGGCTAGATTATATAATAATATAAAATCAAGTAACAACTCACCCCTCGGGTTGATGTCGGTAGATCCCCATACCGCGTGATGCGCATTCGCATCGGCTCCTATGACTATGGGAAACTTCCTCGAGTTGGCCTCTTTCACCACGTCCAGTAACCGAGCGGGAGGGCAGTCTTGGCGATCGTAGGCCATGTATGTACTGACCAGCCAGAGTGTTGTGAATTGGCTTTCCACAGAGATGCTCACCGTATCTTCATCGCTGAACTGTGTGAGTAAATTATAAGAAATACTTTTTTTGATTAATATACATGCCCTGATCTTACCTGCCACAGGTGCCGACACTATGCGGTAAGCATCAGAATTAAGTCCACAAACCCTGTGCTTAACAACCCAGGGCTCTTGGACAAACACTAGCTCCTCCCCTCTATCACTGAGGTGCAGGAGCAGAGCTGCAGAAGCTGCTTTAGAGTGATGAAGGTTTATTTGTAGAACCTTCATCCACAGCTTATAAAATATCGTCCCCGTCCATCACTTCTGGCGGGGTTCTATCGAACGCCTCAACGATGGTATCATCGGCGTCCTCTGAGTCCGACGTCAGAAGCAGGTTCCCGAACTCCCTCGTCCACCGGTTAAGTACCGATCCGTCACCAGAAACAGATTGCGTATCGCTATCTGTTTCCGCTGCCGAGTCTGACCTCACCACCGGGCAAGTGGCCTCGAGAACCTCCTGGACCTCTTGGTTAGAAGCAGGACCGCTCAAGGCGTTTTCTGCTCCAGATATAGGGCCGCCTTTAGGCGGAAGATTGCCAGCCTCGGGTTCACCCTCGGTGTTCCCCGGCTCTATCATTTTACCCTCATTCCCTTTTTGGGTTTTGAGGGTAATGGAGTAAAAGCCGTAGCTAATTACTCCCTTACAGTCAGCAAGGATCGGGAGAGACTCCTCGTTTATCACCAAGGTGATGTAACGCTGCTGCTCCCTAACCTCGCTGACCTTCACTACTTTCCAATCAAGGGCCGGTAGTGCATCATTTGAGACCTGGATAATATCCAGAATCTCCTCAGGACTCGAGGGTTCCTCTGGGACCCAGGCTCTGGCTCGCGGCTTACAAGGGATTTCATCCCTGTGCACTGCCACCAAGTCAGCGCTGGGCCACAGTTCCCCAAGAGAAGAAATTGCTTCCTTATAAAGTCGCGCCGACCGTTCATCAGCGCAGGAAACTAATTTGATGCGGCCTTGGTAGAGACCAGCATCGCGGACAGTTGGCGCAGGGCCAGGATTTTTCCGGAGAATCTCCTTGTACACCCGGCAGAGACCCACCAGGACGGACCTCCAGTTGTCGGCCGTCAGGTTTCCTTCCGGGTGCCCCCTATCCATAACCGCCAGGATCAGGTGGTCCTTGGCCACATCACTGAAAGCCCTCAGAGCCCTTGGAGGGTTAAGAGGGCTGTTAACGTTAGAGGTTTTGGGCCTCTTAGGAGCAGCATCCACGTTATCTGCTGACCTTTGCCTTTTGCTGCCCAGCTCCCTAGGACGAGAGTGAGTGGGTGCAGGTTTGTTGGCGGCATTTCCTTCCTGAGGTCGCTCACGACTTTCGGAGAGAACGCCCCTCGCCCTCTCAACCACTTCCCTCATACTCTCGGGAACCGGGTCATTGCCGAACTTCCTCAGTAGTCTAGAAGCGGCTCTCTGTCCCTTTTCGCCCTGACTGCTGGTCGGACTTCTTTTTTGGTCCTCGAACCACTGGGACCTGGGACGCCTTTGCGTTGATCCGACTTCCTACCCTCAAGGGGCTTGCGGTCGGTGGTGCTGTCCGTGCAGGACTTCCGGGTGCCAGTATCGCCTTCTCCCGGCGCCGCTTTGGAGCTGCCCTCAAGGGGTGTACTCGCAGCTTCCAGAGATGTGGACGACTGGCACGAGAGGTCAATTGGCCGTGCAGGCTCCGCTTGCAACCCAGACGCCAGTTGACCACTACCCACCAGGGGTTTGTTGCTACTGACGCCGGGCGCAACATTTAGTATTGTTAGCCGTTTAGGCTCCTTCGGGACCGCTCCAGCGGCTACCGAAGATGTCGTTTTTAGACAGACTTTAACGCCGTGTCCGTCGGCGGCATTTTTACCCGTGCAGGGATCCGGGGCTACATTTTTTGAGTTCATCATTCTGGTTCGTTGGTCGCCTACTGAGCCGAAACCGTTCGGCGACCGAAAATATGGGTAAGGGGAAAAACGGTCGGCCTCAGCAGAGCCCCATGCTGAGGTAAGTCCACCGTTACTCCCGGAGGCGGACAGGTATCCGGGAGGCGCCGTTAGAATACAGTCGGAAAACCCCCTGACTGCAAACCATCCAATGGGCACGGTGACGCATGACACCCTGGATTAGGGGGGCGTTTTATACCTACCGCCAGGTACCCCCTAGAAATAGCCTAAGTATGGCCACCCCAGCCCCCCCCTCGGACGAGCCCGTACGGCCTACCACTAGACCTAGATGAGGCAGGGGAGTTTATACCTCGGCCTTGGCTAGGCCCCGCCTGCTTGCACCACTGCACCACTGCAGCCATAGGAACAGGCCTACCTTGCCACAGCGGTGTAAGCAGCGATGCCCATTGCCCAGTCGGCACCCGCTTGGAGGATATATCTAGGAGGATTTTCGCCAACCTTTATGTATATATACATACATCATAAATTAAGGAATGTTTTAGAAATATACAAGTTTATTATTACGAATGTAGTTGAAATTTATGCACATGTTTACATTTTTCGTACATACATCATAAATTAAGGAATGTTTTAGAAATATACAAGTTTATTATTACGAATGTAGTTGAAATTTATGCACATGTTTACATTTTTCGTTTAACATTGAAATCTTTTACGGTTTTCGTAACTGTTCTCAACGCAGCTTTGGCCCTGTTGAAAAGATCGCTAAAATCGAGTTTTTCATGAACAGAGTTTACTATATTGCAATAAACGCGGATTTGCACAAAATTATTATTTTTTTTTATCCAAACTTTGAAATTAAAAAAAAAAAATAATATTAAACCTCAGCCCTTGAACCAATTTCCCCTTTAATCTAAGGTCTCATTGAAAATACAAACTCTGTCCTGCTGTTAATTAAAAAAATATGTCTGTTGCATAATTGTATCTGATTTATAAAGCTGCATAGGTACATATCGCTCAGTTTCTACGAGTAGAAAATAGTCACAACTCTAAAGCTGTGACTTTTCAGAAAAGTATTTAAAGTCTCTCAAATTTTCAGTGAAAATATGGTTGACAAATTCACTTTTATCCTCTCCACATAAGCTCGAAAAATCGCTTAAGCCTTTATTAGTGTGGGTGTACATTAGGGTGGTCCAAAAACAGTAAAGTTGGAATTGTAAAAGTATACCCCTATTTTTTTATTTTGAAATCAAAAAATATTTAGAGATTGCTAAAGCTTTTCTATCGGGAAGCTCTGGTTCTCTTCAGGAGACTTTCAATAACAATACCCGATTGGGTATTATTACTGGGTATCTCCTGCAGAGAAGCAGAGCTTTTCTATCGAAAAATATTGGTTTTTAAGAATTCTATACCATTTCTACGAAAAGTTGTTTTTCCCCATATAAAAGTACATGGAAAACTTTGAGCGCTTTGAGCGACCTCTAAATATTTTTTGATTTTAGTTTAGTGTTTCATGTCTATAATCTTTGTCTAATCAATGTCTAATCCTTAGTGTTTTTGTTCCAAAATTCATTGACCTCAAGTGCTCTGTTCTAGTACTTATACACCAGATTTCAGTTCTTATCATCCAAACGTACCACCCTAATGCCAGTAATAACGGGTGATTTTTTTGAGGTTAGGATTTTCATGCATTAGTATTTGACAGATCACGTGGGATTTCAGACATGGTGTCAAAGAGAAAGATGCTCAGTATGCTTTGAAATTTCATCATGAATAGACTTACTAACGAGCAACGCTTGCAAATCATTGAATTTTATTACCAAAATCAGTGTTCGCGAAAATCCGCTTTTTTATCGACAAATTTTGTTCAGCGATGAGGCTCATTTCTGGTTGAATGGCTTCGTAAATAAGCAAAATTGCCGCATTTGGAGTGAAGAGCAACCAGAAGCCGTTCAAGAACTGCCCATGCATCCCGAAAAATGCACTGTTTGGTGTGGTTTGTACGCTGGTGGAATCATTGGACCGTATTTTTTCAAAGATGCTGTTGGACGCAACGTTACGGTGAATGGCGATCGCTATCGTTCGATGCTAACAAACTTTTTGTTGCCAAAAATGGAAGAACTGAACTTGGTTGACATGTGGTTTCAACAAGATGGCGCTACATGCCACACAGCTCGCGATTCTATGGCCATTTTGAGGGAAAACTTCGGAGAACAATTCATCTCAAGAAATGGACCGGTAAGTTGGCCACCAAGATCATGCGATTTGACGCCTTTAGACTATTTTTTGTGGGGCTACGTCAAGTCTAAAGTCTACAGAAATAAGCCAGCAACTATTCCAGCTTTGGAAGACAACATTTCCGAAGAAATTCGGGCTATTCCGGCCGAAATGCTCGAAAAAGTTGCCCAAAATTGGACTTTCCGAATGGACCACCTAAGACGCAGCCGCGGTCAACATTTAAATGAAATTATCTTCAAAAAGTAAATGTCATGGACCAATCTAACGTTTCAAATAAAGAACCGATGAGATTTTGCAAATTTTATGCGTTTTTTTTAAAAAAAAAGTTATGAAGCTCTTAAAAAATCACCCGTTATAAAGATCGCCAAGATTTATAAAATTTTTGATATAAAAGTATTTTGATTATTACAGTAGAACTATTTAAGAAAATTAATTTCTTTTTTATAATTGCCTTGCAAAAATATTTAGACGGTCATACTAAAATATTTAGAATCAATTTCATCAGCGAAAATCCGTATAGTGTGAGACTTCTTTCGATAAATAAATTCGTCTGATAAATTTATATAGGGGATATTCACAAGCCGTCATAAGTCATAAACTAAAAATTGGATACTTTCAGTTATTTTTTCTGACTCTATGACTACTGACACGTTATGATACCTTGTGAATACCTCAAAATATAAACTAATGGAAAAGATTTTGAAGAGAGTTGATCTCTCGGGGTAGTTAGGAAAAACTAGGTACTGGCAAGCGTTTTATTACACGGGGTATTTGTCTAATGAACTGAAAACGAGTGAACATTTTTTCTTAATTTCTTTTCTATTTACACTTCAATGTCGACTAGTGGAAGCCATGCGACATGCTGTCCTTATTGATATTCATTTCTCGGGACGTTGATTTCGGGTAGTACAGCGGATTTCGATGAATTCGAATTACTTCGGCTTTTGGCGTTCGCAGAGTGCGGTGCAGCCGGATTTTCGAAGGTCGACTAGTTATTCCACTAATAACCTAGAATACACAAAATTTCGAGTGATTTTTAGTGGTCGCAACATCCGAAATATTTCGCCCTTTCCGTAGCTGCATTTTTGCAGGCCAATTACGACTGCACGAATTTCGACAACTTATGCACTTAAAAAATTTTAAACACGCAAATATCACTCTTCAAATAGCCGTTAATTTAAAGCAAACCTACACTGGGACACTGGGAACACTGGGAATGGTTGTTGTGTCAAGTCGCGTACCAAAACATTTGCTGGTTCTATTTACAAGACAAGTAATCAATATCTACTCGAGACTTTACTGATAAAAATGAAAATTATGAGTGGCTAGAAGCTCCAATAATATTGGTGATATAAAAGTGCATAGGTCTATTCTGATAAACAAAAAACTAAATTTAAGATACTTATATGCACCAATGTTTTAAGATACCTCCGATGTTCAAAATACATTTTCAACGAGACCTTGGGTCATTAAAATTTTCCTAAAACGTGTTTTAAAAGAGTTGGTGAGAGTTACATATAGCACTGTGGAATACAAAAAAAAACCTTAAGTGCGCATATGTATATCAGGTCTGATAGCTGTTGGCCATGCGAACAATGCCTCATACTCAGATTTAGATAGATCAATTTGTGTTCTCGAGAAAACAAGGGCCCTGAACCTAGAGTCTCAGTGTAGCGGCCAATTTTTTTTTTTTTTAATTTTGAAAATTGATCGTTCTTTTGGCCTATATTGTTTGAAAATAGCATACAAAGCAAATATAGACCAAAAAACGATGAATTTTAAAAATTAGGAGAAAAAAAAAATTTGGACGTTGCACTGAGATTTTTGGATCCTGAAAACTTGTTTTGTCGAGAACACGAATTGATCTGGTATATCTGAGTACGACGCATTGTTCGTATGGCCAACAGCTATCAGACCTTATATATGCGCACTCCTAAGTTTTTTTTTTTTATGTTCCACAGTGTAGTATGCCGAGTTTTATGAGAAAAATTACCTCCTTGGATGCGCAATATATAAATCTATAGACAAAAAACTTGCGCCCAAAATGGGATAAAACTCACAGTAGCATGAATTTCAAATTTAGTGTTACTATAGTAATTTATCAGTGGGCTGTCGTACTGAAGTAAGTAGTTAGAGCTACGTAGTTATGCTCAATAGCACCGAAATTCTATGCTTCGGCCCGATTCGAGGGATTCGTGATCGAGAGCAGCATTCTCCACAATACATTTTAAATAGACAATTTGCACTTGCTTTCGAATACTACAAAATCTAATTTCGATTCGAGTTACATTCGATACCAAATGCCGCCATGCGGGCCTTGGTCTCACCAATATCCAAAAAGTGTATTTCTAATACAAAGTTTCGCACTTAAAATCAATCTAACTTGGTGGCATTCAACATTTTAGGCACGACATCAAGACGCATACCATTTACGGACACTTTGACAGATACTAAGCAAAATGTGTAAGCACCAAAAAGACTAAAATGTCCTAAATTTACAAAAAAAAATGATTTTGTAATATTACAATTCGAAAATAAAAAATTTTGCTCATTTTCTTTGTATCTTTTCATGTGCTCTGAGTGTCATTTTTTATTTCATATTTTTAAATGCGATCGCTGGACGAGAAATGTAATTTCTTACTTATATTTTTTGTAGGGACCGAGAACGCGTTCAGCATTTAGTTTTGTTCAGCACAAGAACAAAATAAAATGTCAAGAACGTTCCCGCAAAAGAATTAACAACAAAAGAAGAGCACTGAGAGCAGTTTAAGCGGGAAGATAATGAAACAAAAGGTGCGGGAATGTTTCCGTAAAGAAAAAAAATGTGAGCACAACTCTCGGAAACATTCTCAAAATGAGAACAAAACTCTGAAGAAAATGATTAGAACGAAATTTTCGGGAACGTTTCGAATGGAAACAAAATGAAAACGAAAGTATCGACAACGTTTTCAAGGAGGATAAAATAAGAATAAAAGTCTGGGGAACGTTCTGCTAGAGAACAAAACAAGAACGTGATTGTTATTTCTAAGCCAGAGGAAATCTGAATCATTTTAACTTCCAGATCGCCTATCATTAGGGTGAACAGTCCAATTACTGAATAATTTTTCATTTTCTGTGGAAGAAAAGTTCGTGTCTTATGTCTTTCATTGACCTAATTTGTATAGTTATCTTTCAGTTCTTTTTTGACTAATTTTAATATTCAAATATTTCAAACTAATGCACGTCAATGAGAAAAATTTTGTACTCGCTTCCATTCTTAAGAGAAGATTTGTTCCCATTTCGTTCTGTGTCAGAGCATTCCTGTGGCTTTAGTAGCCAAATTGTTCTTCGAGAGAAAGTTCTTTAGGCTTTTGTACCCGTTTTGTTCTTGCCAGAACGTTCCGAAGTTTTTGTTCCCATCTTGTTCTCTTAAAACTGTTCGCGAAATTATTTTTCTCATTTTGTTCTCTTTGGGAATGTTTCCGTTGAGAATGTTCTCGGCAGTTTTGTTCTCACTTTCGCTTTTGTGAAAACACCCCCGAAGGTCTTGTTCACATTTCGGTTTGAATTTTTACGCGTTCTTGCGAGCAAAACTACGAGAATGACGTTTAGTTTAGTTTTGTTCTTAAGTTATTAGAAAATCTAACCATGTTTGTATTCCATTTGTGGCAATTTGGTTGAAATAAAAGCTAACTGTTTTTGCCGGAAGTGATAAGAGTGCAAAGTATTCGAATCTGAATGCTTCGCTTGTCGAATAGCAATACTAATTTTGATCAATTGAAAAAACGTGATGTACTGATTTCTCAACAAAAAAAAAAAAGTCTAACCCTTGGTGGCACCACAATGATGGAAACTAATGGCGATTTTGTTTTGTTTCTACTGAAAAATTCTGCCTTTTGATTGCCCCTTTTTCTTTTTGTGTTAGATTCTACATTAAATGCAAATGGTGAGAAAATTGTGTGTTCGTTTCTTAAAATGTCACATTCTTGTAAGGCAAAAAAGGCACATTCTCTGCCCTGGGAACCTTTGTCAGGGGAGATGATTGCCCTGAAAATCAGATGGTTGTTTAAAACGACAATGTTATGAAATGCGTGAGCTTGACAAGGACAAGAAGGCGAAAACATGCCTTTTTACAAGGTTAAGTGTAACAACAAACACATTTTTCACCGGGGAAGGGCAACATTTTTTGGAAGAAACGAAATCACCATAAGTAAGCTGCAAACTATCAATATGCTTTTACGCAAAGTATTTATTAGCTGTCGACTCTAGGCTGCCTCCGTCTCGATAAATATTTTAAGCCGAGATACATTCGTATGTAGCTTTTTAGCTATAAATAAGTTGTTTGTGTAAATATGGATATTGGTGTGAACACCAAAAAATTTGGTACGGAATTTTAACTTAAAATTCACTAGACACCGGATTTATGGTGCAGCGAGAGTCTTAAAGCAGGAGAAATAAATAGACTCCCGCCGAGAGGTTTGCATTAACTTCAGATTCACCTCTTGTATTCATGCTAATGTGTGCAGTTTGTAACCCTTTTTGAGTGTTTCTAGTAACTTCTAGTTATTAAAGCTCAGTGTTCAACAATGTTATATTCATAGCTACACTACAGTTAACTAACATACTCAGTTATGTGTAGCATTTTTTTGTTTCATTTTTACATACATATGTACTTCTTAAAGCGAAAGTTAAAATAAGTAACTAATCAAGTTAATTTACAAAAATAATTTTCAAATTTAAAAGTGCCAGTGTTACAGATACTGACATAATGCCTGCCCGAGCAGGAGCAGAAATATGTTGATGAAAATGCAGCCAGCATCGCCACACAATTCGATTGAGCTTTCCTGTTAAAGAAAATAAAATTTATGTAGCAGCGATTCCAATTAAATTTTCGAAGAATTTATAGTAGGAGATCCGATAAAGGCACGACCTTCACCCATCTGTTTAATGGATGAAATCTACTTTGTATGAAATTTAGCGTGTTGGGAAATATTTCACGAGTGGGTTGGCTTAAAACTTCCTGGCCAGGATATTTTTAATTAAATATTCAAAAATTATTATTATTTTTTTTTTAATTTTGCACCGATTTGTTTAATGAACAAATTGCATACGTATATACCAAAAAAGGCATAAAGCCTACAGAATGTGTTGAACAGAAGAGGGAAAATTACTAATATTACCTACCCGTTCCTACCTGCCAACCCGATAGGTAGGCCAGGAAAAAATTAGACAACCCAACGTTTTCACATTCTATAGGCTTAATACTTTCAATTGGTATATAACTTGCTCATTAAACAAATGACTATAAAATTAAAAAAATAATAATAATTTTTGAATATTCAAATAAAAATATGCTGGCCAGAATTTTTTTCAGGCACCCCACTCGCAAAATATTTATTAACACGTTAAATTTCAAAGAAAAAAGATTTCGTCGTGCCTTTGTCGGATCTTAGACTATTAGTGAATGTTTTTTTTTTCACTATAATGTGACCTTGTAAGGATGGATACCTTTATGTGTAGTATGTATGCACATTTCGACGTTATCAATGCAAAAAGTCCTCAATGAAAATTATGAAACTTTACAAAAGAAAATTACAAAGGAAGGGCTTCTTGCATGACTCATCTCGAGATAAAACTTGTTTTTGAAGTGAAACTTCTTTGCGTTCGGTTGAGAGTAAATGCGAAAATCAATGTAACGGAGTAGCGACACACTCGTTGGGATCTAATTCCAAACGGAAAAGCTACAGAAGAAGGTGTGGGGGTGGCAGGGGTGGTTGGTAACGATTATGATTAAGACTAGGATTAAGGTTAAGATCGAGTTTTTGAGATAAAAGCTTAGTATCTAGCTCCTAAGAAAACGGCCAAGAAAAGTTGCCATTATTTCGTGTGTAAATACTATAGTAGTGTCCAAGGAATTTTGACATCTGATATTTCACAGCCTTCTGTCCCACTCTTTCCCCGTAAGATAATGAAACGGGCATATACATATTTCTGTTTTAAGCATAAGTTGCTTTTTTCACAAAAAAAAAAAAAACGTTTGAAAACCGCAGTAGAGAACTTAGCAATTACTTAAGAACTGCGTACTGCCTTAAGGAATTTTGGCACAATAAAATTTATTCTCCATTTCTTAAGCCTTTTTTTATATGGAGTTTTTGCGTTTCTTGAGTGCTGGATACTATGCTTTAGATTGAAATAGCTTTTCATTATTATGTAGAAAAAAAATACTCTTAATACGCGATGATATTTTTTTGTTAATGTCATCAGATGTGCACCGTTTGTTCGATTTTCAAAACTCAGGTCTCAAATTTTAGGGCTACAGGCCAGATGTGCAGCACGATTTTTTTGTTTTGAAAAAGAGTTGCCGCTTGTTAAAAATTTAATTTAAATTGTTTAATAAGTCAATTATTGCAATGTGGGTATCAATCGATATGTTTTTGAAAAGGCTGTATTTCTTAATTACATTGCCACTTGTTTAAAAAATTAATAAGTGCGAAACAAATAAGTGCGATTTTGAACACGAATAAATGCGCGCTAGTGTTTTGGCGGCGAAAAAAATACGCGTACAAAAAATTTACGAAAAAAGGCACTTAAGAAAAACTTCGGCACAGAAAGACGCGTAAACATAGTACATCATTCAGCATCATTCCCCAGAAACTCGTTGGGGAATTTACATACTGTTACACACGCAAACATAAGGTTTGTTCGTCGAGCAAAAAATTTGTGCGAATTCGTACGAATTATAATTAAGGTATTCACAACGGTGTCGTAAGTGTCGTATTGTTGTATGTCGTAAGCTTTAAAAGCTTAAATAAATGTTTAAAGGACGTGAAACGACAACCAACTATTTTTTTAATACTACAAAAATTCATAATATGACTTTGATGGTACTTTTCGAGCCTCTTTAATATATTTTTTTGGCGTTTAAAGTTTACCACATACAACAATACGACACTTATGACACCGCTGTGAATACCCCAAATGATTTTTGCCCAAATCGCGTTTGTGCACACCAAAAAATTATCCATTGCAAATTCTTGCTGGAAAAATGTTAGCTAGCAAGAATTTACAATCACGAAAAACATATGATTGTGGCACATGGTTGCATTTTTGTCTATGATAATTTGAATAAATAAGTTCGTTAAATTTAAAAATCTATAAACACGAGCGATTTTTTTGTGAAAAAAGGAAGAAAATACTTGTTGATATAATAAATTTAGTTTGATTTGAACTTAACTCGTCTGAAAAAAATATCGGAATGCAATAGCAACCAGAGTCGATTTAAGAAACCCGACAGCTAGTAGGGTAAAGAACAACAAGAAATATACATGCATATCCTATTTTTGTCCATATGAAAGAATTTTGAAAATTCTATAAAAATTTATTATGTTTGAAATGCAACCGTGGACACCAGCTGGCAGGGAAACTTGCAAATTCCTGCAAATTTGCGTTCGTGCAGAAATTTGTAAGTTTCTAAACATGAGAGAGAATTTGAGAGAATTTTTTTTAGTCTCTGATATTTTGAGTGAACAACCCTAACGGCAAAAGTAAGTTTACGCGTCTTTCTTCGCTGAAGTTTTTTTATGTGTTTTTTTTTGCGGTCAACCTTTGAGCTTGCGCTTTTTTCACGGTATGTGCAATAGTCACTGTTCATATATAATAATCGAAGGTATTGCTCATGAAAGTCATCAGGTTTGCACGGTTCTTTCGAGTATCAAAAATGAGATGTGAACTTAAAGAGCCTGGCCTTTAAGGTGCGCATGGGATCCACACACAACTTTTGCCATTTCCAAGAAAAGATAAGTTAGTGTTTTTTCGCTTTAATGACGACGAAATGTACATATGTACATATCTATAACATACGATGAACATTACTTACATTTATATGCTTATTTATGCAACTAACTGGACGCACTCTTGAAAATTCGCGATCATTCTTATAGCAGGCAAATGTTTGATTTGTATCCAGTGGATATTGAATTTTGATTGGATCCACGGTCATTTGTATCGATGTATCTCGTGGACAACGTTGATCGATTACCAATAAAATCAGATTACTATTCGGTATTGGCAGCACAACAAATGGCCGTTCACATGCATGAGCTGTCATATTGTAAACAACATTGTCCTTCTCATTGTACATGAGATATAAGTGGCGTTGCATATCGCACGATTTGAGCTGTGTCCGATGCAACGTCACCATGCGTAACCAATCCGTACTTTTCGAATTGCTCGGGTAGTCATTCATGTCGTCATCAATATAGGGATCCATAAATTCGGCAATGGCCGTATTAGTCAGTTGCACAATATACCACAACACTGTATGGAGCAGCCATTTGAGTGCACGTAAAAGGTGAAAGATAGGCTAAAAGAGCGTTGGAACAACACATGATTTCGAAATTATTCATGTTGAAATTGAAAAAATGACAGGAAACAAAATTTAGATTCACTCACCGATAATAAGCTATTCGATGCATTAATATCACTATCGGATTCAAAGCACACCGCTTGATAGTCATATACAATGACGCGCTTAAAGACTTTCTCCTCCACCAAGCGTAGCATAATACCGCCATTCATTTCGCCAAAGAATTTGCCTGTCTCTTGACGATAAGGTGCGATGATAATAAAGCCATTATTATCTATAACGTAGCACTCGCGGTCCTCAACAGCACATCCCTAAAAAGGATCAATGTTCAGTTTACTAATTAGTGGTCGCGATAAATATGAGAATTTACAAAAAAAAAAATGTAATTCGTAAAACACCCTATTGTACGTTTCGCAAACTTTTAACAAAAATGTATTAACTCAAAATTTCTCGTTTGGCAGAAAAGTCTATTTCTGAGCTCATGTTTATCATTTTAGGAACTAGTCTTTAGTTTGCATTTGGCAACAAACTCCAATAAAATACAGCTGCAGCTTCTGCAGGTCGGAACATTTCTATCACACATAAAAAAGGTAAATTTTTGAAGTAATACATTTTTGAAGAACGTGTGTGTATATCAAATTTAAATACTACGATTAATTCTAAGCAAAAATGCCGAACAAACTATATACCAAAAATTACGTTTGACCCTCTGAATTTTCAAAAAGAAAAAGCTGTATATTGTATGAAGAAAACACAAAATTGTTTAAATGAAAAATTAATTTCGTTCAGAAAAAATTATAATTCACTGATTTTTCTTTTTTGGGAGGGTCAAACGTAATGTTTGGTAGAATTCAAATATGCCATACACTTTTTTCGTAGCTAAATTACTCCGCCCTAATGCACATGCATACATAGTGTATGATGCATAACTTACATTGCCAGTGATATTACGGAACAGTTTCTCCAGCGCGGAATGGTGGAACTGAAATCCTACAACGGCAGCTGGTGCAGATTTGCCGCCTTCTGTGTGGAAAACAGCATTGCTGGCTGTTACAGTGATTTCTTCTCCAAAATCTTGCAAAAATTAATGCAAAAATCCCAATCAGTTATCAATAGTTAATGGGCTTAATTTAAGTTACCTCCCGCATCAAATGGCACCGAATAAACGAAGCTGTCTTCATGCACAAAACGCTGATCCACCGCACGTTTGTACCACATCTCGTCTATAGCTCGTTTATTTTGTTCGCTGAATGCCTCGCTGCATCGGTTGAAAAAAATAAAAATAAAAAATAAGGTTCTATGTAAAAAATCCTTTTAGAAGTCTTGGGTCCAGATGTAATGATTCAAAGGAAGGCTGTCCGGCAAAGGAAAAACACGGCTATTAGTATTGGCGAACAGACAGTAACTCTTCAGAACGAAAAGGGACAATGCAGAGGGCCGAAACCGGTTTGTCTCCAAACCAACTTTGACAAGGGATGACAGAAAATCGTTCAAAAACACATCAAACTCCTACCCTGTCGGAAAGACCAACCAAAAATGAGATCGTTAAGTTCATTAAATATAAAGATGTAGCTGGGTTCGCCTAGAAATGCCAAACCAGTGGGACACAGTTATCAATCCGACTCTAGCACTCAATGTCATACTTAACATAGCGCCTGTCGATATCGTATCGAAGATGGAGATATTCCACCCTATTGCGAGTGTCGACTAGCAGTAGATAAACGACTATTATTCGATTATCGCTTTTCCAATAAGCGACTGTGAATAGTTTTTAGTCGCTCATCCTTCTTCAACTGTTTATTTGTAGAAGGATGAGCGCCTATAATTTATTCGCACTGACTTATTGAACGAGACAACGACGTTCACAATTCCATGGAAAAGCGATAATCGAATAATAGTCGTTTATCTACTACCAGTCGACACTCGCATTAGGGGTGATTGTAGTAGTTTCGGAGGCTTCGAATTGATCACTGATAGCATGGATACCTTCGAAACCAGACTGACATCAGTGACCTCTTTTCACACTCACTTCACCCCTTGGAATGAGTATACGAGAGGCCACATTTGGAAGGCGGCGCCAGTGGGCCAAAACCTGGCGGAAGGGATGGTAGGAAGGTTGGTGGAGGTTTCTTCTGTCGTGAGCTCTCCATCAAAACTATGTTCAGACTTTCGAACTTCTGTGATGTCTTTCTGATGGAAATTACTACCATAAAGGAAGCCGCAGACTCACTGCTAAAGAGTTTGACGTCAGTTAGGAAGGTTAGCATATACCCTGATAATCAGGCAGCCATCAGAGCCATCAGGGCCATGAACCCTATGATGGTGCGCTCGAAATCTGTAAATAAATATTTGACCTCTCTATTAATCGAATCAAGTTACTTCTTAATAATGCTAATTTGGGTGCCGCGTCAGAGTGACATTTCGGTAAACTGCATGGCCGATTACCTGGCAAGGCACCCTTGAAACGTTATCACCGGATAATGCAGCAACTGGGAACGTCTCTGGCCTCCTGCGGTCCACTCTTGGACGGTTGGGCTGCACACAGATTTTATTGGACTTGGGTGGACCGGAGGCGATTAAAGGAGCTCCTAATGCTTGAGTATTAGTTCTCCTTAATGCTGGGGGTTCTGACAGACCATTGTGCGATTGGTATGCGCAAGGTAAGTCCAAGAATCTCAACTGATCCCTTTTGTGCCTTTTGTATCAGTTGTCAAGAGGACGATGATGTGGAATCATCTCAACACTCCCTACTAGACTGTCCAGCATTTGGGAGGCTTAGGTGGAAACGTACAGTGTAAAGTAGTTCAAGCCTAGCTTTCATAAAACTAGGGTTGCCAGATATTTTGACTAGAAAAGGTAATGACCAAAGTAAATTAATTCTGCTCCGAATTGTTTATCATCCGTCCTTTTCACCGGACTTGTCCTCCTGGAACTATTATCCTTTCTAAATGTAATAAATAGGTTCCTAACGTGGATAGATCAAGTAGGGGATATCAGGATAAACAAATAACACTGAATTAGTTGGAAAATCAAACTACATGCATTCGACATTTTTTCTTTGTAGTTTGGGGCACTTAACAGCTTGACCTAGTATTTCAAAGAACTTACCCAGCGCCAGCTTCTTCAGCCATATTTGAATGGAACTCCTGCCATCTTGTAAGACCACTATGTGTTGCCAAAAATGCCACAGTAATGCCAAATCGTTGTTTGAATTCATTTCTGCGAAATTGAAATTTATTAGAAATATTTTTGGAACATGAAACTTAGAAAAGGATGTTGAAAAAAAGTTGATTACATAAAAAGGTTTAGGTGTACATACTTAAAAAAAAAGTAATAATTAAAACATATTTTTTACAAATTTTCATGTAGTATAGTGTTACCTTGGCAACAAACCCATTAGAACGGCGATTGGGCTTGAAGCACTTGTGCTGATCCATGTTTATTTAAAAAAAATTTGTTTATAATCCAAGTGCGTTTAAATAAATTATTTAAGAATAGTTCAATTTAAATGAGGTGAAAGAAATATTTACAAAAAGCAACGTAGAAAGAAGAAGGAGAAATATTCGTTTTCGCAGAGAAAAGAAAGGCAGTAATTTAAGGGAACGATGTAAATATGCATATATGTAATATGTCTTTTGCGAGTTTAAAGTGTAACTTAATTGTTTAGATTTATGAAATAATATGTTATATTTGGTTTCAATTAGACTGGTTTTGGGTAAAATTTTTTTTCTGCGCCACATTTTATGTTATACTGAACGCCCAGAAATATAAAATGTATGTATAAGCTTGAAACCGTCGCTTTGTATTGGTGGAGAGCCTATGAATTGTCCTTTTACAATTTTGGTAGTTTTTTCCTTATTATTTAAGCAAGTATGTATAGGTAGAAATGTCGACGGTCATATTGAACAATTTTACCGATATATTTCGATATTGTGATCCGCTTTTTATGTGGAACAGAGACCCTGATCTATAGATTTGAAAATGGCAACTACATAAAGGAGCTTATAACACTAAAATAGCGCCTAAAGAGAATTAAATCTGTGACCCGAATTCCTTGTTTTATTTATTCGATAGAATGTATGGCTGTATTTGAAAAGGATAACACATTTTGTTCAAAAGCTTCAATTGAATGACTCCCCGGGAGTTTCTCGCTTTTCCCTTTCCTCCTATCATGAATAAAAATTCCCAGAGGATTTTTTATTTTAAATGGTGCAGTTGAGCTGTCAAAAAAGTGTAAAATAGCTCTTTCGAAGTTCGACTTTCCTCCTGTCAAATTTTCGCGGAAAATGCCACTACCTAGGAGTTAATTATTGGAGGATTTCTTTCTCTGGAGAAACAAATTTCCGGACCACAAACTCCCCGGGAGTATTCAGAATTAGGCTGTTTATGTTACGCCACGTCCGAAAATTTGGGTAGTTACCTCAAAACGGAATTTTTTATTAGAAATTACAACTAATAGGTAATCTGAAATGACTTTTAGGCAATAAAATTTATTTCTTTTATTTGTATTTTTTAATTGTTTCAAATTTGAATGCAGTGATAACTATTATTCGAACAGTACTGTGCTGGTATGTACATATATTGGAGTTCAATATGTACATATGTATGACTTGTTAAAACCTCACTGCCAGTAAAACCAGTCTTTGGATCTATTCAGTGAAATGATGCTTACCCTTTATCGTCCTTTGAATTAAAGCTTGTATTCTTCGAAAACCATTCGGTAACTCTCGCATCGAAGACAAGTGACTGCATAAGTTGACGATCACCTGCAACAAAAAACACAACTTGAATTTAGCTGTTGACTAAGTTTTGTTTTTTTTTTTTAATTTATGCTTTTAACAATAATCACAATATCCAATAGAGAAGTACTCATTTTGCTGGGTGTGAGATTTAATTTTTTGTATTTTATTTATTAATAAAAGGTACTAGTAGAAGGTTTGGATATGCAAAAGTTATGCATTTTTTACGGGTTTAACAAATTTTATGGGTATTTGATATGGTTAACTGCCAGGATACTGAGTACTTCTTCAAATATACGAGTATTTTTGGGGCTTGCTTTGCAAACATTCAATCGACGTTGGTGCAGATGTAAAAAAAGATGATTTTAGGAATGGATATATGTACTTATATGTATATGTATGTAATTAATTACAAAATAAATATTAAATTATGATAATTGATTTTAATGAATTTGCATTTGTGAAACATGCAGAATACGTCAGCAAGTCCTCAGCTAACAATATATAAGTATGTGAGGTTTTCAAAAGTTTTTTAAATTTCAGTGATAGGCAAAATGTGGAAATTAATGCGGTGTGAAATAAAGCTAAAATAATGTAAAAAAAGTCAATGTTAACACTGGACATTTATTTAAAATTTGTATTATAAAACTTAAAATGTTAAATTTCTGGACTGAAATAATGTTGAAATACGAGTTTTTCAAATACTAAACTTGTAAAATATTTTGTTAAAAATTCGAACGCGAATTAAAACTTTTCAAAATTAATTGAACGTGAAAGTGGTGTAAAAAAGGCTGCTTCTTCATTGGCGCTATAACAATTTAAGCAATTTTGGGCGAGTTCAAGCTAAGTACCTCTTTACCTGATATTTCTTACTCAGTGGAGGTTTCTCTCTTTTTCTACCACTACCAGCGGGTACGTAGTAGCTATATTTTTATTCGCTGAACTACATATGCATATACATATAGTATGAGCAAATCTCACGAGGTATTTTTTTTAGCTGGCGTTTCCTTCTCTGGCCAGAAAAAAAAACTAAAGCTTTCTTCTTGCACTTATTTAAATCAGTGGAGTTCCAGAAACAAGTACAATAAAAAATAGATCAAGTATTTTAACAATTTTAATCTTAAAATGTTTATTAAGGCGAAAAAGTACCGATATTATAAATTTTTTCATTGCCACTCGAAAAAATCATAATTGTTTTTTCTAATAACTTTGGGAAGTTTTCAAATAGAATGTTCATATTAGAGGCAATGAAAGTTGACCTCAAATATAACATATTCTTCTCATGTTCTTCTTGCAAAACGAACCAATTTAGAGTAGTAAAACTAGCGTGCAAATGAAAAAAAAATACTTTGATTATAACATGGCGATGATTTGCGAAACGAAAATTCCGATTATACAATTTTTATTGGCACACTCGGAATTCATTCTAAAATTGTTATATATGTACATGAACAAATGAATATACATACATATGTATGTATGTACAGTGACGAGCAAAACTGTAACATGGTTAAACACTTTTTGCTTCAGCCGCCGCTATATTTCCAAGTTCTAACGACTTTCATACTTTTGCTGTATATTCTTGTTGGTACATCCCTACTCCCTCTCTCATAATGATTTGAAGTCAATACAACAACAATAAAAAAAAACCAGCAGACAAAAATGTAAATTAAGGCAGGTGTTACAGTTTTGCACTCATATATTTTTAAGAGCTTTTTAACAATTTTAACGAAAAAAAAGAACTACTAACACAATGTCCAGTACTCTTTTGCCTGTTTCGGTTCCTGGATGTGATTTGGCATACCTTATTTGTATCTTTGTAAAAATTCTGGAGGTATGTCCTTAGTTTGCTTTCACAGCTCATGTACTCGATTTTACGGACTTTGATACATATCAAGCTGGGATTTTAGTAGATTTCGCAGATTCTCAATGAGTTTCATGTCCGCGGTTTGTGGAGGTCATTTCAAATTAGCAAATTTTTGCTTTTGTATCCAGTCTTTGCGAACATGTTTTGGGTGATTTTTCAGCAGAAACTCTAATTTTTCGACCACATCTTGCAAATTTTCTTGAAATATGAACAGATACTGTTCCTTACGCATAATGCGTACTAACGGACCAACAAAATTTTTGAAATACAACCGCAAACTATTATTGACCGACCACTGTGATTCACAGTTCGCCTTACATGCTGCGCATGGGCTTAATTTGGGTCTTTGATCTTATACCATGCCCGGCCATCTGATTGAAAGCGATTAATTTAGTCTTGTCTGACCAAATAACCTTCAATTGAAACTTAAAAATATGTTTTTTACTGCATTCTGAACGGCCTAACATATCCCAATAGGCAACGGTTCGGTTTTCGTGCGATGCAGTGAAATGCTGCCACACTCGCACATGTATTATGATCAAATTTGCTTTTTTCCTCTTTATGATGCCTTTATGCTCAATTTGGCAATTCTTCGCCTCGCTGTCTATTGATTTGCATTAAAGTTTAATACCTTAAGCGCTTCTGTAATAGTGGCTGTATCGCTACTTGCTTCTAAGTTCACAAGATATCGTACCGTAATATTTTTTGACAGACTTCCTTTGTCCTTGGGAACACTATAGGCTATATATTTTTCTCAGTCTTAACATTTTCAAGTAGCTAATTCCTAGCCGCAGTAAATCTATTATTTACATTTATGGTTCCTGATTAACTATGTTATTTACTGGAGATCACTTCTTCAATAAATTACAATATAGAAAAAAGTCATCTGACTTCCAACTAAGTAAAAGATAACTGTCAAATGCAAAACTGAGAGTGAGTGCAAAACTGTAACATCTGCCTTAATTTACATTTTTGTCTGCTGGTTTTTTTATTGTTGTTGTATTGAGAGGGAGTAGGGATGTACCAACAAGAATATTCAACAAAAGGATGAAAGTCGTTAGAACTTGGAAATATAGCGGTGGCTGAAACAAAAAGTGTTAAACCATGTTACAGTTTTGCTCGACACTGTATATCTATGTTCGTATGGAATAATGAACCATTCGCAGCATACGATTGCGAATGACTCACTAGCGCCAAGCTATGAAAGAAATCTTCGCAAGTAAACGTGAAAGAAATAGTTTCGATACTAGCACGTCAATATTCTTATTAAGTCTCATCCGAAAATTCCTTGTGGTTTAAAGAATAAAGGAAATGGTGCATTATACTAAAGTCAGCCTTCCGACGTAGTAGTTACCTAAGAAAAATTATTTCTTTAATATTGCACAAAATAGCAGTATAAGATTATGGAGAAATAAGAGGTCCCTGATTCTACCGATTTATGATGAGTTTTTTTTTAAACGTTTTTAAACATTTTTTTAAAACACTAAATAAACTTTTTTTGTAATTGTACAATTTCACTTTAAAGTCGCATAAATGCGGACGTTTCTTTGGCACAACCTTTAAACTATAATACAAGTTTTAATTGAAAAATATTCTGCTAACCGTCACTCTTTCTTTCCACTTTTCACTTTTGAAAAGCAGCAAATATTTAGATTATGAGATACACGCATTTGAAAGTGGCACAAAATCAAGTTACACATTTTTCGTTTACAGAAAATTTCGAAACTATCTGTTTGAAGGTTAGTAAATCAACCGTAAGTCATTTTATCGAAAAACGGAGTATACAGTTTTTTTCTCTGAAGTATTCTCTGTAAGAGGAGTTCTGGCCACATGAGCCTTCCTTTACTGCAGGTGTTTGTTGCTTGCTGCTATGTAGCAAACTTCATGCCTACCTTCTTCCTCACTCTGAGTTACTTTCGAGCTCTTTCGAGTAACTCTAGCAAACTTAAAACTGCTCTCTCTCTCTCTCTGTGTACACTCATTGCATTCGTAAAATTTTGATTGTTAGGCACTAAAAATTCCTAACTACAATATGTAATCAACAACTTAAAACTTGGTAATGATTTCCTCTTTTTCTAGAAAAAAGTATGCAAATCAAAATCTACGACTTCTTCTAAATAAAAATATTCTACATAAATTAGGAAATAAACAATTTTTTTTT